GCAAGTCAACTCCACAAAATGTAAGGGAGACAAGGCAGTCTGATATCAGTCCTTCCTTTTTGGGATGATAATACGGTTTTATGGATTCTGCTGAATCAGGGGGCTAAAGCCCCAATCTAGGAACTGAAGGATGGGAACTGCTAGAGGTCGGCTTCTTGTAGCCGGAATGTGCTGAAGTGCTGGGACATTCATGTACCCAGGGCTGAATGTACAGCAGCTCACTTCAGGAGGGAGAATTCACCCAGTAAGGTTCTCGTAAGTTTTCCCCGTACTTACAGTATGGTTGTGAAGGGGACGGATGGTGTCTAAGCACCTCTCCATGTGGTGTTTTTCATGACATAAGGGCATGAAATTTGTGTTCCACAGGACTAGGCTTACTACTTCCTTAGTTCTAGAGTAGATGTAAAAGACTAAATCACGAATAGGCCAAAATAGCATTTGTAGTACCACTCACAAGGGCGTTTCTTATCTTTTTTGTATGTTTAAACTGTCTTCAGAGCTTGTAATGCTGTCAGGGCTCCTGCCCTCTGACTGTACCTGATCTTTTGGGAGAACAGGTACATGTCGCAGGGTGACAAAACATGTGAAAAGGTCTCGGGAGGGTTCCACCTTTCCTGTCTGCTAATCTGACTTTCCTTGATAAAGAAGAAACAGTGGAAGTCTGCGCTGCTTCCATTGCTTGTGCCTTCTATCTTCCGTTCAGCTGAAGGGGAAGACAGGGAGCACGGTTCCAGAGAAGAAACGATGTTACAGAGACAGCTGGAAGTTGAACTCCGACACATCCAAGAGCAGATGCAGTACTACTTCAAAAAAAAACGAAGTTATGGTGCAGACCCCCCCCGCCCGGCCTGTCTTCATGGGGTCAAGTCAATATTGCTTTTTTTTTTTTGTATGTATCTACTTTGAAAATAACCAGTCTGTTCACAGCAGAATTGTGAATGAAACAGAGAAAAGTTCTAGAGATTTTTATTTTTACCTTTTAAGAGTTCACTCCAGGTGGGAGAGAGTACGTGCGCAACTTCTTTTGTAGTCAGCAAGTGGTTTAATTGTACCTTTGGCAGCTATTGGAGAAAGCACGACAAAGGTGTCATTGGGTATAATCTGAAGGCAGAAAAAATGAACTTGGCAGGGCAGCTGAAATTTAGCTTTGAGTTCTTTTATCATAAAGAGCGCAGACTTAGCTTTTCCAGCTGTCAATTAAAAAAAAAAAAGGCTGGTGTTTGACAACTTCTCTGTAAGAACACATTTACAAAAAAAACTGTCAGGAAAGGAGGAAGTCAGGAACTAGGAGTAGGAAATGGAGGCAACAGTTTTCAGATTTCTCTGCTTTCCAGCATCCATCCTTTTTTTTTTTTTTTTCCTCTCTCTCTTTAAAGACTTTTACCATTCACTGGTTTGAGACAAAATATTGGGTCTTATCATAAATATCAATTGCAAGTCTAAGTTGGCTTAGACTGTTGAGCTCCTAATTGGGATAAGAATCCTTCTAATCCATTTTATCAGGTCCTGTCAGCAGCAGGCACAGATTCTACAGAAGTGGCTAGAAATGAGCAGGCAACCAGAGGACGAAGAAGGTGTACAAGGAGTTCAGGAAGAATTGGATCAGGTGCGTAAACAGCAAACAAATTGAAGTTACTTAAGTGATTGTCACAATGCTATATGCACTTAGCCTAAAGGCTGATGGTAGTTGTGAGGAATTGTACAGTAAGCTGTTACTGAAATGCTAAGAGAAGGGGAACGTGTAATCAGAGGTGGGCTGACAAGCAGAAAGAAGGTGTACAAGGAGTTCAGGAAGAATTGGATCAGGTGTGTAAACAGCAAACAAATTGAAGTTACTTAAGTGATTGTCACAATGCTATATGCACTTAGCCTAAAGGCTGATGGTAGTTGTGAGGAATTGTACAGTAAGCTGTTACTGAAATGCTAAGAGAAGGGGAACGTGTAATCAGAGGTGGGCTGACAAGCAGAACAGACTGCTGTGTAGATGCACCTTCCTGTTTGTTCAGAAATGTAACTCCAGCTCCCATAGACCTTTCTAAGGCTATTTCCAAGCTCCATAGCAAGCTTTAGTAGATTCAGTCTCAACATTTTTTCTGATTTCTCAAGAGAGTGTAGCTACACCACCTTGACTGCATCTGTGCTGCTCTCGGTCCCCAAGTTCGTACAGCACCGTTACCTCCAACAGTAGCCCGTACCTGGCTGTTCCTGAGTGACGCAATCCTGTTGCTTTATGGTGCTTAAGTGGGATAATAGGAAGCCTGCTAGAGCTCATTTGCTCTTCCTCTGTCAAAAAGACTAAATGCTGTCTTGCTGCACAAACAGCTTATGCAAGTGTCTTCCCTTTCAGTTGCAGGCGAGGATCAACACTCTCACCAAAGCACAACTAAAAGAGAGACATCATGTGCAGAACCTGGTTGCCCGCCTGCATGATATCCAGATCGCTCTGGATATATAACGCATTTGAAGCAACTTTCCAGCTCACGGGTAGAACTTTTTGCCCCTTTCCTAGCAGGTGAGGATGGAAGAGATGTATACATTCTCTTAGTCTATGTATGGCATTTTTATTTTATAAATTAAATGAAAATATTTTTATATGCTTTATTTTGTCACTACAGCTGTTTAAAAACCAAACCGGAGCTAAACATGCCTCATGCTGCACTCACAATACCTAGTTTAGGTTACCCTGACACTTCAGAAAGATAAGCAACACTGATAAGACTCTTTATTTCAAAATGTTTGCAATTAAATGAGTTCATGTCAGTAAGTCATACGCTTTGACGTACAAAAATACCGTGCTACTGATACAGTTGAATTAAATGGATTCTCCATGCAGGAGAAATTCACAGCATTATCAATACCCTCTAGGAACTTTGCTTTCACTTCCAGGGTGCATTGCTGACCGCTGCGTAACAAGCAATGTTTGTTAATCAGCTGGCTCTGCACAGTATTGAGACCCTCACAGAAACAGCCACTTGCATGCTGAATCCTCTCCTCCTCCTTACATTTCTAATAAAGCAAACATCAGGTAACCTGTCCTCCACTACTAGGCTAACAGTAACCTTCAGATACTGTGGATGATGATGCTGAGTAGGAAGAAATTAAAGCTTAAAGTTGCTTTGGCTGTGTCTGGATGCCATAAGCCCCAGTGGAAAAGGAGAAAAAGATTCGGTTGTCTTTTCTCATCCACTGGAACAAATTTGCTTTCTACTGTTAACATGACATTGGGTTTAGTCAAAAGGCTAGTCATAGCTTTAGCCTCTCGGAGTTGATGTTTGCCTTTATCTTTTCTCACTCTCAATGGTTTTTAAAAAGTGCACATCTCTCTAACTTGTATATGGCAATATACTGCTGCAGGAGTAAACTTGCTAATGCCAAGAAGTTTAACAAGATAGGTGGCTGAGAGCCACTTCAAGCGTTCAAACTCCTCCTTGTGTAAAGTGAGGAAACATTGACTCCCAGAGCCAAACGAATTTTCTCCTGCTTGTCACCCAAACAGCCACCATCATCTCAGTCATGGCTGGGCTACATCACTTAAGAGGCAGTTTATCATCCCTTCTTCCCTGATGACAAGCTAAGCATACAGGACTTGGCAAACTGGACATTTGTACAACAAAATTATATTCTATTTTCTGCAGTGCATACAAAGAAGGTTAAGTTTTTCTTTAGGAAATCGGAGCTGGTCAAAGCCTGCCATCTCCTTGAAGTAGCAGAGAAGTAGCTCAAGCAAGGAAGTAATATGAGAAATCTTTCAGAGAGCAGAAAGGCAGCTTGCATAAGCACATCCACTCCAACAAGCTCTGGCCAGCAAGGTCAGCTCTAAATGTTTGAGTGCCTGGGCTTGAAACAGCGTATTCTCTAAAAACAATTGATACATTGCTTTAAAACTCAGTTCCTCTTCACTTTGGCACCAGTTTCTGTCAGTGCCATATGGTGCCACGCTCAATCATCCAAGGTGTTAAATTTCAACTCTTCTGGACATGAAGTTACAAAGAGGCTCTAAAGTTTTGCTGTAGGACAAACCTTGAGCATAGAGCTTTCCGCCCCCAGCACATTCCTAGGGTTAAGTACGAGGGCAGAAGTCAGAGCCGATGTGGGTTTTATATTTTGAATAAGATGAAATTGTTGCCAGTTGATTACAGGAGGGCCAGGTTGGCACCTGGGAGGCAACTTGAGATTGCTTCAAAGATCCGTAGTATTTTTATACATAGTCAGTGCCTAGGGCATTTCACTCCACGCGATAAAAATTGGTCCTGAAGCGTCTGAAATTGTTGTGTAAATAGAGGAATCAATTATTCAAGAATTTAGTGACAAAGCAACAATGAAGATACATAGCAGAAAGTAAAACCAGATTTTGGCTGTCATCCCATTGCATCACACAAGAAAAACATTCCCTGTATCTTCTAACCCCTTAATCCAAGAGGTGAAGTAACTGTCTCTCATACAAACAGAATCTTTAAGGCCTGGAATAGCAAACTAAAACCATGGATTAGGAATAGCACACACAGCTTTGCTTTTTTTTGTTTGTTTGTTTTTTTAAAAAAAGCCCAAGATGACCAGTTTCATCATATGGAATGTAGACACAGTGTTTTCAGGTTTAAAATACAGTGCAAAGTCTGTTTTTAAAGGGACAATGTCAGGTAAGAGAATTAAAGTTGTCTAACAGTAAAAAACCTGGATGAGCACAATTTATTGTACTGATGCTGTCTGTTGTACGTTTTGCTTAGTTTGGACTGTGAAGCCATATGAGCCAACTTAACTGTTTGGCACTCTATGCCTTCACAGGCTGCCTTTACAGAAGAACTTCAGCAGTGTCTTAGAATAAAATAAATATGAGAACACATTCTTTACTCAAGGTCTGAAAAAGAGATATTGCAGCTATGAGGTACACGGTCTGACTGAGCCTGTCACTGTCCCCTGAAGTACAGCTGATCTCTACCTCCACCCTTCCCCATTGCACCTCCACTGCCTAGGAAGGCTTACAATGGACTTGGAGGCTCCAAGAACAAACTGATCCTGTGGCACACCGAGGGGAGAACAGGAAAGACTACAGGCACAAGGTGGGGCAGAAACCTCTGTGGCCAACATCTTTAAAGGCAGCTGTACCCAATACATACGTGGTCATTCAATTCTCTCTCTGCATTCAGCAGCACGTAAATGTAGACCAAATACCATCAAGTTTAACGTAGCTATGACATCTTCTCTTTTCCTCACCCAGGTCCTGCTGAGTGACAGATACATACTTGTGAAGTGAAACACTCAGTGGTGTGACCAGAGTCCCTTTGTATAGAAAACCTTCTTGCTGAGTTTCTATAGAGAGCCCAGTGCTTCTCCAAAGCGGATTTTCTGTCCGGCTTTGAGGTGGAATTTGAAGTCCTTGGGTGCCTCAAAGATCAGTACAATTGTAGAGCCTAAGTTAAATTCCCCTAAATGTTCCCCTTTCCTCATGGGGATTCCCTCCTTGTTGTTGTTGGATATGAAGCTGAAGTCGTTGTAGGAACCTTTAGAGTAACATGGACTGTTGGTATGCAAGTCCTGTACAGGGAAGGAAGAAACCGTTACTCGAGGATTTCAGAACTCTCTATTATTCATTAGCATAGCTGTAGACTGTGGATATCCAGGCATTTTCAATGCAGGAACTTACTTACAATTCAAAAGTGCAACAGGAATATTTAAAAAAAAAAAAAAAAAAAGTCGTCTAATACTGGAGATTACTCCCTTTAACATCAGTATTGTAAAACACCTTAATTTCAGGGTAATAAGATTTTTTTTAACAATTTTTTGTCATTTTGTTTTATTATACTGTACCAACCTCAACCACCAAAACCAGAAAGCTGCCCACTACTAATCTTGCTCACCTGATCAAAGTAGATGCGGATAGAGCCCACATTTGTTGCTCCTACAGCCGTCAAAGAGAAAAAGCCATGTTTCCAGTCCCCTGTAAGGACAACTCGTTCATTGTGGCAGAACAGTTCCTTGATCCAGCGAGCAACTCCAGGATTCACAGACATCAGAGAGCCTGCAACAGTGAGCAAATATGCAAGTTAAAAGTTGCCTGGTCTGTAGCAGTATTGTAATGCTATCTAAATGGTATTTTCAATGTCACTGTAGCTGATCCAGTAAACAATTCTGTCACTGATTTGTGGGAAGAGAGGCAAATGCTAGGCAGAGTGAATGAAAGACAAGGCTGTAGTAAAAACAAAGGGTCATAGAGAGGTATAATCTTTAGTCTTCTGTCCAGAAAGATCAACGCCCTCAGGTAAGGCTCGTATTACTTTGCATTCTTCTTAGCAGAATCACAGGGGAACTAAAGACCATGCTCATCCTTCGCTGCAAGGCTTGAACACAATCTGGAGCCCCATCTACGGTTCTCTCTGGTAAAGAGCGAAGGGTTTGTATTTTCACCCCTGGAAATGGTTCTTTTCAGGCTGATGGGTACCCCCTGCCTCCCTTGGCTTTCACTTACTCCCATCTACAGCCTCAGCTCGACTGCATTTCCAGACAGCGAAGGCCTGCCATTAAAGTAGGAGCAAAGTCTGGGGAGGGAGTCCCCTTCAAAATATCTGCCATTGCTGAAGCCTGTTCTAGCATCAGTCCTACCTGCTCCTCTGTCACCACACGGAGGTGGCAGGGACTCGCTTCCACACTACCCGATGCTATTCCTCTAACAAAGATGTAACCAAGCAACTTCACACTAGCATCAGCTACTCATTCACAAATGACAACTACTGTTAATTGTCATCTGACAGGCCCTGAAGAGAGAGCAGGGTAAGGACAAAGGCAGAGCTAGTCTCTAGTCTCAGCCCTGATAGAATTGGAAGAAGCCTTCTAATAAGCACATAAGATCCATCTAACAACAGGCTACAGGCTACTAAAAGGAAGCTAAAGAAGCTTTTTACAGCTTAGGAACAGGTTTCACTGGTTAACTACCCAGTGCACGTGAGCAGCCCCTTCCAGTTCTCATTGGTAAATGCATAAAAGTGGTTACTGAGGCTGTGGCTGAAAACCACGGAGCTAGCTAGCTACAGCTGACCAGGAAGTACTAATAATGTGAATCGGTGAAACAAAAGTTTATTACAGAACAACCTCAAAAATGTAAATCCCTACACAGACCTTAAAGTAATTTAGTAAGGTATATTCACTACCCACATTTTTAGCTATAAAATGCATCCGCTTTGCTGCACTGAATCCGATAGCAGCATTTCACCAATGCTCCTTTGTTTCAATCAAGGCCTAGCTTCAGTCTGGAGCTTGACAGATTTCTCAAACCTTGTGGCAGGTCCTTGTCTGTCTCTCACAGTGTTTGAAACCAAATCCAAGTACTTGGTTTTTTTGCTAGATACCAAGAAGTAAAAGTTTTGTTATCTACTGAACTAGACTATGGTGACCTGCAAAGAGGAGAACAAAAACATCCGATCCCAGCCCCAGTAGCATAACTGTTTAGTTGCATCTTCTTTGCCAAGCACAGGAAGAGACCATATTTTAGGCTACTGTTTGGTCTGATCTGCAGAACTGCCTGTATTTCAGGTGCAAACTGAACAAATTGTGTTTGGGAACAAGTCAGGTCAGCATGCATCAACAGTTATTTCAAAGAATTTAAACAGCCTGAATACAATAGTACTGTTTTCACCATTTATGTGATTCATTCTGATAAACTATACTACTATAAAATTCATTATCATTTGTGACAAATCAGTTTTCTACCATTATCTATCACACGAGTGTACAAGTGCTCCACTGGCGTGTCTCGTTCAGCAGAGGCCCATACCAGTGCTTCCCTCCACAGCATTCGTTTTCTGGGAACAGAAACCCACCTGGGAAATGACGTCGGTGTGACACCCTCCAGTCAGTGGGCGAGTGGAAGCAGTGATAATCCCCTGGTGCAAGGTAGATCACACAATGATAGAGCTCATTCCCCTCCTTTGTGACTAGTTGTTGCTGAAACGAGTTACCAAGTGGGGCTGCAAAGAAACCATGGAAAAAAAAAAGGGATTCAGGATACTCTTCACAGAGTCCTCTACCATAGCTGAGCAGTCTACGTCAGAACCAGTGCTAACAGCAGAGGACTTAATGCAGCTCACGCGTATTGCTGAGACTACAAAAAAGATACACTTCATCCAGGAATGCAATATTTCAAAGTTCTTTTCCCTTTACAACAACATTGGATCCTGTATTGTTTTAATCATTTTGGAGTTTGCCCTTCCCTAAACAGAAAAGCAGAAACTGAAATTCAGTGAAACAGAATTTTTGTTAAAGCTACCCTTTTAAGAACAGAATTTGTGAAGGGTCTCTACGTTTTATAAAATGCATTAGTTGCATTTGTGCTGACGTTGAAAATAACCCTACTGTTTGCAGAACTCAAGTCTCTCCAGTCCCCTCAACAGTTTAGCAAAATGTGCAGCTTTCATCAGAACTCAAGGCCTTGGAGACAGTGCTCGAGGTGCAGCAGGGCAGTAACGGCACAAGTCATTAGCAGTACAATGCTTGCGCATAAATCTGGTTGCGGAGTAGGTTATACAATTTTTGCCGCCCAGGGGCTTGGGCCCATTTCAGTCTGACAGCAGGAGTGCTACAGCCTCATTACAGGGGCAGAGCTTGGAGTCAGCTGTAGGAACCAAGCAGTTAAATTCAGATAATTGGAATGAGCCAGGCAATACGCCATAAAGCCACTGGTAAGAAACACAAAAACTAAAAGAGTGATATGTTTATCCTGAAATAAAACAAAATAAAAATCAGACCTGTTTTTGTTCCTGACAATGTGAGAAAGAGAGAAGGGGGGGGGGAAAAAAAAGTTCTCTCTTTGCTCATGATCTCTGACTACACTGGAAGGGCAGAGCAGAATAAATGCAGAACTCACTCTGGCTAAACTGCAGCTCCTCTGCAGAGATGCGAGGTCCCAAGAAAGATTCCAGAGAATAAGTAACTCCTTTTACTTGCTCCACTTCACAGTTTTTAACCTGTCCAAAATTAAGGATCTTTCCATCAGAGGGACTAATCTACAGCAAAGAGAAAAAACCAAAACACATTAGGAATTCATTCATTGCTCGTAAAGCAGCGGTGTTCCTTTGGGGGGCGAGGGGAAGCCGGTAGCGCAGTGTAAAGCCTTCATTTCCTTTTACTCACCACACTGTGCAGACAGCAGACTGGCCGCGCTTGTGGTTTCAGCTTCCTGCGGAAGAATTCACTGAGGTTTCTGTAGTGATGCAGATCTTCAACAGCTGCCTCCTTCATGTTCACTCCAAACGTCCAGATGTACAGGCTGTAAACAGGCTTCCGGAGCCACGTCGGCAGCTCCACCTGGTTCAGGCGACCCCAGGCTCGTGAGAGCAGTCGAGTTGGTACCGATTTGTACAGAGCAACCTACACAAGAATGGCACCGCGTCATTCACTTCTTCCCACTGATGGCTTTCTCTTACTTCTCCCCATACACAGAAAGGATCAAACTGTTGCTGCTAACCACTCCCTTGAATTCAGTGGGTTACACCACATGCAAAGTCACCTTTAAGTCAGCAAAAAATTAACACCGCACTTCATCCTCACTCCCTCCATTCTGACGGGAGCAGATGAGGGACAGGATGAAACCTACTACACCCTTATACCAAAGCCAGAATCTCCACCCCCCTGTGGGCTGAAACTCCACATTCAAGTTACTGGAATCTGCCCAATGGGAGGCTTACAGAAAAAAAGACAAATTTCAAATATTCTAGTAGAACGCTCATCAGAAGGGCTTAACATTACCCACATACTCATTTTTGCGTTTAACCAAATGGAAATTGAAAAATAATTTCTCAGTGTCTGACGACATGCCTCTCCGATGCACCTACTGAGGAGGGTGTTTCCACATCCCAGTATTGGACTGCTCTAATGATCCTGGTACAATCGAAGAAACGTACCGGGGTGGGCGCAGCTACGCCGGTCTAAACTTACACCAGCCTTACTCCTTCTCTCACAACAATGGGAGTTGCTAATTGCAAGAGTATAAAGTGCCTTTATTCCTGTAGAAATGTACCTTTGGACTTACACCAAAGCATAAGTTTTTAGGAGCAAGAAAAACAAACGAAACAATGTTGGCAAGAGGTACATGCTGTTGATTTAACTGGACAGATGACGGTGTCTTCCTGTTGGTAATTCCAGCAGGGGAAGTGGTAACTCTCCTGGGGTTTGCCGTACTTCGGATCAGCCCAAAAGCTCACATGACCATGATGTAATCGGGGGAGTGGGGGTGTGCGGACCGAGGGAACTGAACCCTCTGAAACTGGTTTTGCAAAAGAAGAAGCGATCTGCTGAATCTGGTACAATTTTTTTGAACAGTACAGCTCAGCTACATTTAACTCCCAACTAAAAGTTGCGGGGTTTTTTCTTTGTCTTAGTGAGAGTCATCATTTATTGTCAGTATTAATCATATCCTTCATAACTAAGTCTTGCAAAATACAGCCATAAACACAAACAGAAGCACGCACTGGCTGAGAGCCTATCCGTTGTATCAAATACGGCGAATTAACATTTCACTCACAAATCACCGCCCTGCGTCACATACAGTAATATTTCAGAAAGAAAACACTGACGTAATCTTATTTCAGATAAAAATTTCTAAATGAACAGTACCTTCAGTTATATGAACTGAAGTACTGAAGAAAAAAATGCCTTGCCATTTTATTTGACATGCCTATACAGTGTTAATCTCTAAAAGAAATTTTTCCCCGTTTTCCACAAACACTGAGAATATGGAGATACAACCGTAAAATCACAAAAACTGTCAAAAGTGGTATTTCCTAGTAGCCCTTTCTCTTCAAAAGAGCCTGGTTTTCAAGTTGATGGGATCAAACAGAACAGCTGTTCCATGAAGTCAGTCTTAAGAATGGCAATTTTGTTGCAGTTTTCAATCAAAATACTTGTGTGGTTGTTGCACTCTGAAATTGCATGATTTGTGGGGAAAATAACAGTGTGCAAGGCCTCTTACACACACCCTGCTCTCCAGGGTGTCAGAGCAGAGAACTGCAGATCATTCGGACAGGCGGGATTACAAATGCCCGGAGAACTTGAGGAACAAACCCTAGCCGTGCAAAAAGGACAGAAAGCAAGAGACATTATCAACGTGGCCAGGAAAGGGAACTTGCGAAGAGGTTTGGTCTGCCTTATCCTAGCCCCGATACTTTGAGCTGACTGAATTTAAACGTTTCTGTTGATTTTCCTGGGCAGAGCCCTGACTGTTAAAGAAATTCTCTGCTACTGAAAAAAAAAAGAAATCACTTGTTTGTGAAGCAATTAGTCAACACAACTATGAACAGTAAAAACTAAAGGGAAATACGAATTGCACCTCTCTGCTTTCATACTAGGGATCATCAGCCTGTTGTACATTAAGGATCTCTCCACCCAGCTGCTGCCAGCTCCCTTCAGTACAAAACAGCTAACACACACGAAGCGCAAGAGAGACCTGCTCTCACTTACCCTGCTCATAGGCCTCCATCCCACTCTGGTCAAGGGTTTAAGAGCACCGAAAGGCAGAAGATAATAGAGAATAGTCAGAGGCCAAGAACGGAGTTTCAGAGCAGGCCTAGACATACAGCTTAACTGGCCCAACCTTCGCCTCAGGGCCAGCTGGGGAAATTGCAACCTGAAAGATTACATACACAACATAAGAGGGTCAGCCATCTCCGCTTCAGAACCACCAGCTTCTGATAGCCGGGGATGATTTATTCCTGCTAATCTTTACTTAAACATTGATTCTGCACATCTTTACTCCTTTATTTTGATCAGTTCTTCCCCTTCCCAAAATAGAAAACCAGTTTATCTCAAAAAAAAAGAAAAAAAAAAGAAAAAGAAAAAAAGAAGAAAAAGCCTCTGTCCAAAAACTGGTGTTCACTCTCACAGGTCACATTTTATGAACGATACCTTCAACAATTACAGGCAAGATCACTTGCGGGTGACATTTGAAAACAAAGTCACCGCTGGTTCATCCAACTAAAAACATAACATGATAGTTTACAGTGTAAATAACAAAGAGCAAAGCTTCTTCTTCCAAATATCAGATTACATCCCCAGAAAACATTTCTTGTGACTGCTCCAGCTGTTGGACAGTCAAAGTAGACAGCAAACAATACTCTGAAAGCTGAGAATCTGAGATGCTGGGACTTTAATAAGAACTCTATGGAGGGACAATTTTAAGGAAAGAACAGATATTCTGATGAAAGAAGTCCTTGAAACCTAATGAACTGAGGTCCCTGGTAGGGCTCGTGTTGAAGGCATCTTGACTAGATCGTGCCTCAAGTTGTATTTTGTATCACAAAAGATGTTGGAGTCAAATTTACACAGACCTGTTGGTCATTCACTAACTTTGGGAAACAAGCACTTACTTGAGAAACGACAGGAGCGGCACTCCCGAGTTAATTAATACAATTTACAAATAACTGATTCCAAAAGACATCTTTCCAGGTCTTAAAACGTTCAGCGGGTACCCTGGTTCTGAACAGAGAACACGTGGACAAAGCCAACATTGCTAGTGCTGCAAGATAATCTAGTCTCCACAGCCCAGTAACCAACTCCTTTGCCTCATAACCAACTGCATCTATGGGGTTTTGTCACACGGATCTCCTGACTGAGAGGAAACTCATTTTGCACAAACGGCCATGGGGAGAAGTTGCACTTGTAACTCTCAGAGGGAAAAGCTGCTCAGCTTTTTAGCAGAGGACATCATGGGCCTCGGTTCAGACCCTTGCAGGAGGGCTGGATGAGAGACCCTTCAGGTCCTCATTTATTCTTTGACTTCTACTCGTGAAGAGACCATTGGCATTTCCAAGGTCACACCATCAAATGAAAGTCTGCCTGCCTGAGGGCACAATACCCAAATCCTCTGGGCGCTGACTTAGAGATTGTTCCCCACGCGCTGCTGAAGGCCATACGCCTGCAGCCACGACACAGCTGTGTGCGCACGCAAACTGGAAGGGGTATGCTCTGCCTGCTCGGAACTGCGCTCTCTCTCACTGGATTATACGGTATGAAGGATGAACTATACAGTAACTGCGTATGTCTTCCCAAGATGGAAAGAAGCTGGGAAATTAAAAGGAAATTTTCTTGTCAACACATTCTTTTCAAAACTTGGATCACGATTAAAATATCACGCAGGCAGATACAACTGTCACCGCTTTGGGATGCAAGATGGTGCTTTTGGCTCAGAGATTTTTCTTCTGCAGTGAACACTACTTCTTTCCCCCCAAGAATTAAATAAAAAAACAGAGAATAGTCTGCATCACAATGAAAGGGAAAACAAAACCAAACCAAACCCTGAAGTGCCATCTCAGCAGCGGTAAAGCTGGCTTTCTTCTCAGCAGGAGGTGGGACTGACTCAACATGGGAATAGGAAGGGGCACGTCACATTCTTCCTCCCACCCTTACCACCCACCAGCCCACGGGTCTGCTCGAGGGCTGGCGGGCCGGAGGCCGGGCTCCCAGCACCGAGCACGGAGGTCCTGCTCCCGGTCCCCGTTCCCCTCCCGCCGCTCTCCGCCCCCCTCACTGCAGTTGCTCATGGACCAATCCCTGCAGAGCCGCATCCTGGCAGCTCGCTCCGGAGCCCTCCGGCTTCTCACTGCCTTGGCCTGGTTTCAGAGCACTCCCTCGCTCATTTTTCCGTTCTCCTAGTGATGGAGAGTAGAAAGGAAAGGAGGGAAAGCCTCCTCATGCCCCTTGTCATATAACAGCATGCCCTTCTCTGCCAATTCAATGCATAAGGAGCTTTATAGTAATTAGGCCAAACAAAAGCTTTGCAGATGGCTGTCGCTGCTTCTGCCCAGAAACCCTCCCATCCTCCCTCCCTCGTTTCTCCCTTCAGTCACCATTCCTGCAAAGCAGAAAATACCGAACAGTACCTGAAACGAGTTCTCCTATTTGGTGTACCACCGGCAGAGCCAGCCGGGCCTGGACTCTCCAGTTGTGGGTGCTGGTCCCCGGCACAGCTGCTGCTGACGCCGGTCCCTGAACGCAGCCTCCGGACATGAATTTTAACTTTGTGGAGGTTGTAGCAAGAGGGTGGAGGGTTAGACAAAGCTTTATAGCATCTCACCATTTCCCTGTGTGCAGATCTGGTCCCTGCAGGGTGTTTGACTGACACATCGTCAGGGTGACGGCTGGTTGCAAGGCTCAGTCTTTTTTCCTCTACCTCTCTTCCCTTTGCTTGCTCCGGCACAGGAGAGAGGACACGGCGTCACAGTTCCTAATTCCCCCGCTGGTTTGTCTCTGGATTCCCCCTCTGTTTCCCACTTGAATCTCTGCTACGAGGGTTGCAGCTATTGCAAACAAACAGGCATTGTGTCATATTTCAACATCCCACTACAAAGCCGACTCTGCACAAGATAAAAACGAGCTGTCCGTATAAGCGGTCCTTGCTTCTCGCTAGTCAGGGTGGCCATTGAAACTCAACTCTCCAAAACCCACCCTGCGGTCTCCGGCTGCTGGGCAGCGATGCAGTACAGTCAGAGGAGCAGCCGGCTGGCCTGGCACTGCTCACCCCGGAGCCCGTCCGAGTCGGAGGCTGGGAGGAGGAGTGGGGCGGAGAGGAGGAGGGGATAACTCCCAGCTTCAATTCTGCAGTGCAGCAGCTGCCGCTAAAAGAGTTCTGGACTGCTGGGCACCAAAAAATCCTCTCCTGCTCGTAATGTCCAGCTTGGAAAGAAGAAAACAGAAAGGAAAGGAACGTCTTTCTATTTTACAACCCTTGCCAGACACAAACATCCATCTCCTGAAGTCTCCTTCCACCTCAAAAGACTCACATAGGAAGCAGGTAAAGGACATTCTTCTACGAATACTCAGATGCATAATGAAATAAGCCAGTTTCACGGCCAGCTTGAGAATCAGGTATAAAAGAAGTGTTAACGTGTCTGTTGTGCAACTCTCGGAGTACTGTGGCAGTGGCCACAGTTTTTATGTCCAGTAGAACTGAAATACAAAACACGAATACTCTGTTCGGGTTTTGTTTTGTTCTTTAAAGACAAAAGGCTGCAGTATTTCTATCTGAGCATTCTGAATATACACAGAGAGAAATTTCCCTCCTTTGACCTTGCAGATCACATCTCAAACGTAGATCTTCTGCATCGCTTGTGACTGGATTTGGATTGTTAAAGGAGCTTGAAACTGGACTCCTGGTTCAGAAAGTGGAAGTCAGCTAGCTACATTTCACCTCAAAATTAAACCAAATACCCAGAACAAATTAGGGGCTAAGTCTCTGGTGGCTATCCATTTCACTTATGTTTTCTGTTAAAAGTCTGGGTTTAAAAAAATAAAAAAATTCCTTGTTTCCAAAGCCCTCTGAACAGCACGAAAGCCGTATGCCTAACAGAGATGATCAAAAAGAACACTGGTGCTCTGATGGGAGGGAAAGGGTTGTATTGTATTAGGGGTAAGGCAGGAGATGTGGGAGGGCCACCAGGAAAAGCCAGAATTAACTAGCTACTGGCATCCCACTCAGGCCTCGAAAGGAAAATATTCTAGCAAGAACTGTGTAGTTTGATTGGCTTTTTACTCCAAATATTACACATATTCCCTAGAAACACCTCTGGAGTCTCTGCATTAGAGTATTTTTTTCAGGAAGAAAACTGCCATATGGTATTCAGTGTCTCAGGAAGTTCCAAGACCTGTGTGCATGTTGTTGTTTAAGCTGAATTTTAACAATTGCATATTAAAAAACCAAAAAATCCAGTTAATTGAAAGAAAGTAAATTTAAGATCAACTGAAAGCACTCAAAACGTACTCCTTCCTCCCTGAGCCCTGTGCCAACTTTTTTTGTTTTCCTATTTAAAATACTCTTTCAGTCTTTCCCTGGCTGGCACAAGAAACTCCTACACAACAAAACTGAAGCCATCTGTAGAGTAAAATGATGAAAGCAGTTATCCAAAAATCCCATCAAAATTCAAAGCAAAGCAACAAGGCGCATAGGGGAGCCATTTCTCTTCATTTGCCAGGAACATTAGAAATTACCACCATTAAATACTAAATTTTAAATAGAAACAAGCTAACTTGACAACATCGTTTCACAAGGCACTTCATCAGATGAGCACCCGGCCGTGCCCAGCTCCCGCAGGCCAGGCTGGCACCCTGCTCCTCGGTCTAATCTCCGGTTTAATCTCCTCCTTTGAAGACCTTCACCTATGCATGACTTTGCAGAAAGACAACAGAACAAACAGAAGTCTTATCTACATTTCCTTCAGTACTCTTCCCTTAAGGATAAGGAAGGTAAACCCACTAGATCTTTCAGTAGAAATTCAATCTGATCCCCCAAGACATTTTCAAGAAATTATTATATTCTAGACTGAACAAGCCTGATTCTATGAAAGCATGGAACAAGTTAAATAGCTCACTCGCGCCCTAAAAACAAATGGGCATCGAAATGTTCTACAGCCCAATGCAGTGGGAACTACCTCCCTTCAGTTCAAAACAAAATACGTGGTGCGAGAGAGATTCCTCTCCAGGGAGAAATACAGGTGTTAAAAGCTTTTTTTCTCCAATTCTTCAAAAAACTGAGTTCAGATGAGTAAGAAGACCTATGCTCCTCTTAACTTCTGTTCTACTGACCTCACTAACATTCACCAAAACGCAAATACCAGAGTCCTGCTTAAACGCTGACATATATGGCAAATTGTCATCCCCGTTGCGGCTGCCCCAGAAGCAATGTATGGTTCCTGTGGTGTACGAAGGCTGAAATGAAAAATCCACCCTGAGTTTACCTACTTTCCAGGGAGAAAGGAACAAGAACTGGTGATCAACCAGCTCATAACAGAGGAACTCAGGTAATGGCATCTCAATAGCTGGACTTCTTCAGATGCGGGCAGTGCCACAAAGCCTGCGTTAATTAGCTTAGACAAGAATCTTATGATTGCTGGTTTGTAGGAGGTTGGGCATCAGTACCAGACTCCCCCACCTGTCTGAACTCACATAGAATCCACGTTAGGTAAATAAAAGCAGCAGTTACCAGCAGGTATAAATCCCTAGAGAACTATTATCTAATAGAGAACTGCTAATCTGCCAGCTATGCAACACCATTCTGCTCTGTCAGCTCAAATAAGTGTCAAATCCAGTGACCCCATTTAATTACTTGTCATTACTACCTCCAGCCCTTCCCTCAAATGTTAAAAAACAACGCAGCAAGGCACTTGCAAGAAAGACTAATATGAAACCGAACTTCAAACCTGCAGTCTCAATTTTAAATCATAAGCATGAATCATTAGGCTTGGAATGCGCTAGTCAGAGTGCTCAAAGCCCTCTGGTCACACTTTCTACATTTGGTAACAGAACTACTGCTTAAAAAATGCACCGTATGCATCCAAATGCTGTATTCTATTTAAGTGCCAGCAAAAATAAGGTCTTGCAATCAGGGCAGAGGTACTCAGTGGCCGTTTATTAAAGGTCCCATTCCTTTCCCAGCAGTATCCGTTTTAATTTCAGACACGTAATCCCTGCTCCCACCCAACCTTCTCCGGAGCCAGCCCAGCAAGAGAAACACTGGATGCTCCACTCCTGAACTCTGAGCGCAGAACAAAACCGCTCTCACGCTGCTGGGGAAACCCGAGTGCGGAGTTAGCGTCTGCCAAGGCCACCTGCTTTCCGAGTAGTTCACTTCCAGTTGGGCTGGGGAAGAGCTGGCCACTTGCGCCGCTTTCTGTGGATTTATTGGTGCTGGCTAATGAAACGTACCATGCTCTGCTTTATCCACCCTTAAGTTCTAAAATTCTTTACTTTTCATACGAAGAAGCCTTTCTACGTATTTTTTCTTGATTTCTTAAGAAAAAAGACTTTTGATCGCTTTCCCCTAATTTTACACTGCTGTTTTGGTTGCATTCTATAAATAGAGGGGAAAAAAAAAAGTGTTATTTTAAGCTTGCCATAAAAGATTGGATTTTTTTAAAACTTAAACCCAAATTCTGTGCAAAAATCCTATTATATGGTCTCAAAGACCTCTTCCGTGAAGCCAGGAAAAATTGTATTTACTTTTGCAAAGCGACATGAAAATTGACGACACCCAAACCACACGGTATGACTTTAATATTTTGCGGTAATACTTTCCGTTTCGTGTTTAAAGCCCATCATGTTTTAGCTTAAGCTATCCGCAGGGCGAAGTCTCCGCTCTGTACGGGCTCCCCAGTGGAAGCA